ATGATCTCATATAGGTGCTGTTATTATCCCCATTTTACAGAAAAGATGGTGCTGTGAATTGAGTGCCAAAGCTAGAGTCAGGAAGAACTAAGATCAAATCTCGCCTGAGACACTAAGTAGCTATATGACTTTGAGCAAGTCACTTAACAAGACTATCTATCTATCTGTCTATCTGTCTGTCTGTCTGTCTACGTACATACATACATATACATACGTGGTATGAATCCTAGTGACAATTTGGATTGCTTTGTGGCAGATGGTCAATCTTATTTTCTCTGTCCTTTGCTTTCCTACTCACATTTTTGTTAAGAGAAGCTCCCTCCTGAAGTGCCACCATTATCCCTACAAAACATGAAAGGGAGGTCTTGTTTTTGATTTCTACAACTGCTTTCTTTGAAATAAATTCCCTTCATGACCTAAGATCTACATATATATATATATATATATATATATATATATATATATATATATATATCTTGAGAGAGAGAAAGAGAGAGAGAGAACAAGCAAGAGCAGGAGTATTTAAAATATTGTCTTATTTTTATCAAGTGCTACAGGTGCCATCAATTTGACATTTATTTGAATTTAGGAATTATCTTTAAATATTTTCCTTATCATCAAGTCTGTTTCTAGTTATTGGTGAAACTTTCAATTTCTTTGTCTTAGTCATTGTCTCTCTCCAAGTCTTTTCTTCCTTCTCTCTCTTTCTGTTTCTGTCTTTCTATGTATCTCTGTCCCTCCAAACCACTCCTTCCCAATCTTCTTTTCTCTCACTCTTTTCCTCCCTTAACCCTCTTTCCCTTTGTTTCTCCATCTGTGAAATGGCTAATGAATTCCTTGTGTGGTTTAATTAATGTTATAAAGGCCCTATTATGCTTGACTGAGCTCTCCTCATCAGCAAAGTGTTATCATCATTGGATCTTGGTAGTATTCGAGGGAATACATTAATTTCTTCTGCAGGTTAATTTAGTACTCACCAAAGGGGATGTGTTAATCTCTGCATTAATGAGTACATATGGATAATATAAGAATTAAATCTCAAAGTGGGGTGTGAGACTACACAAGGAATCCAATCTGTTTCTGAAAATGTGTTTTTTAAAATTCTGTCCAAGCTTCAGATGACCAGCTCAGCTTATTTCCACTATATAATGGAATTTCAAACCTCCTGTTAGGAAAACCTCATTATGGCATGGATGTGGCCCTTGGTTCTCAAAACCTTCGACATCTTGCAGTCTCTACTAAGCTGGGAGGGCTTTGAGCATATGCTTGAGAATTTTCATGTGCCTTTCCCTCTGCGTTTTCCTTCTATCTATTCTGTAAATGTCATGTATGTACCTAGTTATGTGTATGTTGTCTCCCCTTTAGAATACGCACTCTCTGAGGGCATAGACTTTTTTCCCTTTGATTTGTATCCATAGTACTTAGTCTAGTACTTGGCACATAGCGAACTACTTAACAAATGCTTATTGGCTGACTGTTTTCTGCAGACATGTTGAGATGTATTCTAAGTTTTATCCTCAAAAGGTTGGCAAAAAAAAATAAAATAAAATAAAAAAAATGGGGGCAGCTAGATGACGCAGTGGATAGAGCACTGGCCCTGGATTCAGGATGACCTGAGTTCAAATGCAGCCTTAGACACATAACACTTACTAGCTGTGTAACCCTGGGCAAGTCACTTAACCCTATTGCCTAACCAAAAAAAAAAAAAAAAAGGTTGGCCGGCAGATGATAATTTTTTTGAAAGCCACCACAGGTCATGGAACTATTATGGCTATACTATATGTGTCATTAATCCTCTTTGTCTGGTGAAAAAAATCTATGGGCCCCTTATCAGAATTATGTTCTGAATTCTAAAATAAAATACATAGGATTGCAAGGGGAACCAATTGAAATATAATAATAATTTTTTTTTTTAGAAAAACAAATTAAGAGACCCTATATGGTAAGGTGGGAATTGCGATCTTCATCTGTTGAGAGATGTAACTTTGGAATAAAGGAATTTCAGAACAAACTGTCCTTGACTGCAGTGTATTAGCAGAACCTGGGGATTGCGGTGGGGTTGTAGTCATGATATTAACATGAGCAGTTTTCTCATCTGCTGGTTCTTATTACCAACAAAATATAGTCCAGTTCCAATGTCTACAATGAACAAAACTAAGTGTAAGTAGAGAATATGGCCTGAAGTTGTGCTCTCATGGGTATAAGGAACTCCTGGATGAAGAAACCTTTTTCTATTATTGCTAGTATGTGCCCTTTTTACAACTTACAGTCTTAGAGAGTTGCATAGAGCACAAAGAAATTAAATGATTTGTCTAGGTTCATAGAGCTAGGATATGTCATAGGTAGGGCTTAAACCCCGGCCTTCCTGACCAGTTCTCAATCCACTATGCCATGCTAGCTGTTATATATAAAAAAAGAGAAAAACTGTAACAAGGGACCCTAAAAGGTCTCAGCTTGACAATTTCCTTCAATACCTTGTGACAGAGCTTCAAAGTCCTACTGTTCAAGAGATTGCTTTTGAGTAGCACACTGAAGGGCCCTACTAAGATGCCAATGCATGGTCTGGGTAGTGAAATACCAAGTTATTATTACATATGTTAATCAAATTGGCTAGCTCTATAGGTTACTGAGGAATGGAGCACTAATCAAATCAGTTTTGATAAGGTAAAGAGCTAGGAAAGACCTATAAAATGGGGCTTTGCTATGGAGAGAAGACCTTACTTAGAGAATATGGGAAAGGATGATGGGACAGAGAAGATAATTAAAAGTAGGAGGAGAGGAAGAGCAAAGTAACAATGATAGAGTACATTTTATTTTTCTCAGATTTTAAAATATATTTTGTCTCATTTGATTCTTCTAGAAACCCTATGAATAAAACAGAACAAATGCTGTTCTATTTTACCAATGATGAAATTGAGGATCAAAAACATTAAGATTCTGCTCCAGATTAGCCTAGCTGTGAGCCTACTATAGAAGGAAACTCAATTTAGCAAGAACCTACTAGCCAATCAATAAGGACTATATGTTATATAAGGCCCAAGGGGATACAAAGTTAAATAAGAATGAGTCTTTGTTTTCAGAGTGCTAAAAATTTTACATGTAAGATGAGTCATATATAAGGATATTCATAATATAAATTGTAATATTATGAGTACATAAACTACAAGAAGTAAAATCAACTCCAGTGGCTCCCTATTTTCTCTCATATCAAATGTAAAATCCTCTTCATGACATTTGAAGTCCTTCCCAGTCCAGCTCCAACCCATATTTCCAGTCTTTTTATATATTACTCATAGGAACATAGATTTAGATTTGGAAAAGACCATGGAAGTCATTAAAACAAGTCTCTTTAATTTATAGATAAGGAATGAGAGTTGGAGATATGCCCAGTGTCCTTCACTGAGTAAGTGAATGAGGCAGGATTCAAACTCTTGTCTCTAATCTCTCTATCTCGTACTCTGCACGGCACATGCGAGCTATCCACCCATATACTTCACCCAAACTGACTTTCTTACCATTCCTCATGTATTGCATTAATTCCCTATCTCTATATCTTTGTACAGGTTATCCTTTTACCAGGAATTCACTTCCTCTTCTCCTCCAATTCCTGGTATCCCTAACTTCCTTCAAAACTCAGCTCGACCCTTTTTACAAGAATATTTTGCTGACCCCTCCAGCTTCCAGTCCCTCCCTTGCCGAAATACCTTGCATTTATTTTGCATATATTTTGCACATACTTAAATATGTCCCCCCAGTAGAGTTCAAGTTCACAGAGGTAGCTTGTTATTGTTTTTCCTTCGTTCTCGAAGAGGCCAATGGAAAAAGTACTGAAACTGGAGTCAGAACCCCTGGGTTTCAATCTTCCTCTGCTGCTCACTAATTGTGAGAACTTGGGCAAGTCAGTTAACCTCTATGTGACTCCAAAAACTTCTGAGAACTAATAAACTAAGTCATAGGTAGGTTGAGATCATAACTGGTGGGCAGTGTTGCCATTCTGGGAGTTTCTCCAAGTTTTCTGAAATTCAAGTGACTTTACGTTTCAGTAATACAATGACCCAAGACAATTTTGAAGGACTTATAATGAAAAATGCTATCTCCCTCTAGAGAAAGAACTGATAGGAGCTGAATGCAGAGCAAAGTATACTTTTTTTTAACTTTGTTTTTCTTTTTTTTTTGTCTGTTTTCTTTCAATACATTTTGCTTGACTCTACACATATAACCTATATCACATTGCTTTGCTTCTCAATGGGTGGGGAAGAGGGGAGAGGGAGAAAATTTGGAACTCAACATTTTAAAAAAATAATATTAAAATTGTTTTTTACATTCAATTGGGAAATATTTTTTTAAAAAAGAATCCTGGTGTCATAACTATTTTACGATCTGTATATCCTTAATTTATTATAGTATTTACAGAGACCAAGGGTTTTAAATTGTCCTGTGAGTAGTCAGACAGGGGATTGAATTTTCTGATATTTCTGCTGATACATAGTTCCCCTTAAAGTGATGATACAAAAATAAAACATAATTATTTAAAGACAAATTTGAGGAAATGAAGCTCCTTCTAATTCCACATCTCTGCTTCTACAATCTTATAATCTTAAAGGACTATAGGAGATGATAGTCCATTTTTTGCTAGTTAATAAGTCATCCCCACCCCTTAATTTGGTAGCTATAAAGGCCATAAACAAAGGCCTATAGAGTATGTTTGATGGTCTATACAAACACTGTCTATTGACACTTGAATAAACAATCATTTATTATATTCTTGTTATTTGCCCAGAACTGTTCTAAAAAATGGGGAGTGTAAATACAACAAGCAAGATAGTTTGTGCCCTCAAGAAACTTACATTCTGTTAGAAAAAGAGGATCCTGCAGGGCAGTGATGGACAGGGTGAGGTGTTTTCAGATTTCTACACAATGCCTTTGAATTCACTGTCAATTAAAATGAAGAATGTGGCTGTATTTGATTTCCTTTCTTTTCCCTCTCACTCCTCCCTCAGAATCAGACGTTGCTGACTTTGACGGCAGAAGCTCCCTCCTGTACAGATTCAATCAGAAGCTAATGAGCACTTTTAAAGATGTGATTTCTCTGAAGTTCAAGAGCATGCAAGGAGATGGGGTCTTGTTCCATGGAGAAGGCCAGCATGGAGATTACATTACACTGGAGCTCCAGAAGGGGAGACTCTCCTTACATATCAACCTAGGTAGGATCTGTCATTTCTGTTCTCCTTCAGATGTGATGATAATGAAAGCAACCACATTCAACTTCGATTTTACAATACTTCTTTGATAGAAGCAATTGGAGTGCAGCATAAAATATCCTCCCCCTTCCTCTGCACAACCTAGTAAGGATATAACACTTTGGGAAATTTTCAATCAATTTGGTGGAGGAAGTTGAAGTTGAACATGTAGAAATATGGAAATTTGCAGAACAATCAAATTTATACAATACTTCCCCCCGCATACATACACCCTCTGCCAGTTCCCTTGATATGTCAAAAGTCACATTAGGGTTATAAAAACGTATTAGCTGTATCTTGTTTCACATAAAATATCATGTATTTTTGGATATGAACCTTGTAAAATTGGGCAGGGTTGTGGTGAAGATGACTTCTTTTCTTCAGTTTTCAAAAATTTGGATATTTGGTGTGGGTCTAGGGAGATAGGATCTGGTTGTATGGGTGTATATTCACGTGTGTAGTGGCTATTTACTTCTATTTCCCCCTCCATTTTCCAAGTTTTTCCAGTCACTAAGAGAAGATATATATGTGTGTATGTGTGTATGATCTACATATACTTGTATATATGTATGTTTGCATGTATTTATGGTTGTTAAAAGTGTCTTCTCTGGGTTAAAACAAGACTATCATTACCAATAGTAAGCGTGCTTGCTTGGAATTCAGCTCACAGATATTAGGGCTTTTCTCCCTTATTCCTTCTACATTCACTGTATGTCTTCAGTTACCTCTAATTGACCCCCCCAAGTTGGGTGGTTCATGGCTCAGCCCCCTCCATGGGATCAAAGATCCTTTTGAAGGAAAAGAAAACGAAATATATCTCTTTGTAGCACGCAGAGAGCAGAGTTCACAGAAATAGAGAAAATAGTTTATCTGTGGAGGAAGAAACCTGAAAAGTAGCCAAGCTGCAAGGAAAAAATAAGTCACAGTTTGTCATGAACATGACCCCCCTCCCATTTAGTATTTCATTAAAAATGAGTAGGATGGAAATTTTACTTTAAAATAGATATTGTGAAGATGGCGAAGTAAAAAAAAAAATGACAGAAAAGTTTCGTTTTCTGGCAAACATTACTAGGCAAACGATACTAGATCATTTTTTTCTCTGCCCAACAAGGAAGATATTAGGGTGGGGTGTAATAGCAATTGACTCTCAAGTCAGACAAAATCAACCTAACCTGAGGCATCCCTGTGAACCACAGGACAATCAAAGCAGTGACAGAATGTGGAGGTCACTGTCAAAACTCTCGCAGTAGGCTGAAACGACTGCTCAGATCATCAAGTTAGTAAGATTAAATATTTCAAAAAATAACAATCTGTTGGTTTTTTTCTTCTACACTTGAGGACCTTCCAGATCAGCCAACTCCCCCTCCCCCGTTATCTTCAAAAGGCATACTCTCCAATATTGAATCCAGTATTCAATCAATAAAGATTCATTACAGACCTGCGATGTGTTAGGTGCTGGGGATACAAAGGCAAAAGTGAAAATAGCTCCTGCCCTTGAGAAGCTTATAGTTTAGTCAGGGAAGAAAAAAACTATAGAAGACTGATGGAAAATAAATACAGGAAGATTTTGTGGGGAAGACGATAGCTTCTGGGGAAATCTGCCAAAGGCCTCATTTAGAAGGTGACTGCTTGAGCCGAGCTTTGAAGGACAGCCAGTGCAAGACAGCAAAGGTGGAGGAATGTCATGTCATCGTTGTAATTTTTGTCTTCTCATCGCTTACTGTCTCTCCCTTTCTCTTTCTTCCCCTACCATTTGGGGTCTTGTGTTGGAGATTCTGGTGGATCTCCTGAGCTCTATCTGCTCCCCACCCCTGAATTTGTCTTTAATGTGTCTTTAGCGCCTTTCCTATGAGACTATCCTAATTATTCTGTATATAGTATGTTTGTGCATATTTGTTGTCATGGTGTCTCCCTCATTAGAGAGTGATCTTGTTGAGAACAGGAACTGATGATTTTTTTTTCCTTTCCTTATATCTCCAGCATTTAATACAATGCTCAATTTGTGGTAGGTGCTTAATAAATGCTAGTTCACTGACTGGCTGACTAAAATGTAATCACTGGAAGACACCATTTTATGTTGCTTATCTTGGGGCATATTTTGTGGTGCTTGTCTTTCAAGCCACAATTGCTAATTACAATTCTGCATCTCTGATCATCTTTCTAAGATGACCTCATGGCAACTATTGCTCCTGATTCATTCAGATTACTTAATCTTAATTCATTAATTAATTACTCTTATCTCATCAACTAGTCTGAAAACACTTGGAGGATAATGCATTCCCTTTCTTTCTCTTGGTTCCATTAGGTGCCTACCACACACTGGGGTAATATATACCACTCTATCAATGAAGACTTGCTGATTGAAAAAGTAATCAAAGTTGTTCACACTGGAAACTAAGCGTGTGACTTAATGTGTGACAAGCAAGTTCAGAGTGGTGTATTTGTAGATTTCCCTTGTCTGAGGAATGAAATCATATTTGCTCATTTTCCCTATCTATACTTTAACCATTTGTCTGGATTTTCCAGAATAGAGGCAGGTTAAATACTGATTCTACTATTTCTTACTTATATAATCTTCACCAAGTTACTTAACAGCTCTAGATGTCACTTTCCTCATCTACAAAGTGGAGTGGGATTTCCGACCTATACGAACAGCGAGGCCCTTTCCTACCCTAATTTTGTGATCCTATGGATATTCTTATATCATGAAAAAAAGTAAACTTTTAAGGATGTTTTTATGAAAGGAAGACCCTTTGTAAGACCATGTACAAGGATATGGAGCTAAGAAAATATAATAAGGATAATTGCTTGTAAAACAGTTCCAGAGCAGGAGTGGCTTGACCACTCTTAATGATTCAAATCAGTGACTAAAAATGAATCCTATTCTATTTTCTCCAGGTTGTGTGGAATATAACAGAAATGCACAAGTTGTGCAGAGATAGCGATGTTTTGAAACAATAATGGCGTAATTGCAAAAAGACTTTAGTGAGAGAGATTGATAGATAGCATGCATTTCACTTTGCAATTGTCCTCATCCATGCACCATTCAAATTCCTACCTATTTGAAATTTAGAATGAGAGTGGATGTCAAAATAAGTATAATACCCACATCTACCTTTAAGCTCATAAGAGATTACTGTGCAAAATGGATTAAAGAAAATGTACAGTTTTGTTTGGTAATACTAGACACAATATATATGATAGTAATTTACATTTATAATAACACTTCATAAAATCATGGAAGTTTAGATTTGGGAGAAACCTCAGGAACCATCTAACATAAACTATAGTGGATGAATAATGAATTCTAATTAAAACATAGGAGACAAATAATGAGGAAGAACCTCCTATTACTGAGCCCTGTAAATCTTGGAAAATAGTAATCATTTCCTTTTGAGTCTTTTCTTTCTAGACTAAACTTTCCCAATATTTTCACCTGTTCCTCATATAACATGGTTTTAAGACCCTTCACCATCCTCATTGCCTCCTTCTGAATTGTCTCTGGATTATCCATGTTCTTCTTAAGCTGCAGTGTCCAGAACTAAACCCAATTCCCCAGAGGTGATCTGATAAGTGGATAGGACTATTAATTCTTTATTTGTGGAAGCTCTGCCACTCAATTTAGCCTAAAATTATATTACATATTTTCTTGGCTGCCACATTACGCTTCTGACTCATAATGAATTAGTAATCCATTAAAATGCTTAGATCCTTTTCCAGACAAATTTCCATCTAACCATAATTGCCTCATCCTATATTGGTGAAGTTGATTCTTTGAATCTAAATATAAGATTTTAATTTATACCTATTAAAACTCATCTTACTAGATTCGATCTATAAAGCAACTAGGTGGTATATTGGTGAGATCACTAGGCTGGAAACCAGGAAGACTCATATTCCTGAGTTCAAATTAAGCCTCAGATTTACTAGCTTTGTGAACTAAGCTTACTAGCTTACTTACTAGCTGTGTGAACCCAGGCAAGTCATTTAATCCTGTTTGCCTCGGTTCCTCATCTGTAAAATGAGCTGGAGAAGGAAACTGTGAACCATTCCAGTATCTTTGCCAAGAAAACCCTCAAAAGGGGTCACAGAGAATCAGATACAACTGAAAAATGACTGAACAAAGACAAAAAGATAAAAAATAAGCTTTAGCCCATCAAAAACATATTGGATTTTGATTTTAGATATATTGTGTCTTATCTGGCTCTCTGTCTTCTGTGTATTTGATAACTATGCCATTTCTTTTGTTTTCCTTTTTTTAACATTAATACATATTTATGGGATAAAACAAGCATTTCAATAACAGTAAAATAAAAAAAAGATGATTGGGCATAGAACTGCAAATCTACTAAGCACAATTTGCACAATTTGCAAATGTATAACAAATTGTAATTTAAATTTCTTTTTTTCTCTTTTTTACCCTCCCCGCACCCTGCCCTAGAGATGGCTACCATCACACACACACACACACACACACACGTAAAATTATTCTATCCATACACCTATTTTTCAATTCTTTCTCTGGATGCAGATATTACCTTTGTTTATATGTCCTTTATAGTTAATTTGAGTATTTATAGTAGTCAAAATAATTTATTCATTCAGTCATTCTTTTTATTCAAATCACTGATAAAAATATAACACACATATATACAGAACAGATCTCTGAGGCACTATATTAACTACCTCCTACCAACTTAATATTAAACCATTTAAAATCTGCTCTTTGAGTTTTGCCACTCCCTAGTTCTGAATCTATTTATATTATCTTCTAGTCTGCATATCTCCATAACTTCAGCCAGTATAGCATGAGATATTCTGTCAAATGCTTTGTAAAATTTCTGGTTAATCTGTATCTACCAAATACCCTCCTCTGCCAGATTATTTCCTTTCAAAAAAGGAAATGCATTTGTTCTATGATGACTTGTTCTTGATGAGGTTATGTTGTCTTCATAGGAAGTATC